CAAGAGCAAGACTCTGTCTCTACCAAAAATAGAAAAAATTAGCTGGGTATGGTGGTGCATGCCTGTTGTCCCAGCTACTCGGGGAGGCTGAGGCAGGAGGATTGCTTGAGCCCAGGAGTTTGAGGTTGCTGTGAGCTAGGCTGACACCACGGCACTCTAGCCCGGGCAACAGAGCGAGACTGTCTCAAAAAACAAAAACCCAAAAGCCTAAGGCTGCTTACCTCACCTACCCACTTAAGATCATTCTGTGGTTTTCTATTATTGTCAAGTTCAAGACAGAATTCTTTAATTTGACCTACCAGACTTCAACGTCTGGGCTCTGCCCTCAGCTTCCCATCTTGCACTCTTTCCCCCATGACCTGGGGGAGGGGCTTCTTTGATTCCCCCACAAGCCATGGTTTGTCCCAACACAGGGCCTTTGCCTATCATGCCCCTCCCTGAAAGGCCTTCCCCCAGCTTCCCCCAGTCAACTCCCACTCACCCTTCCGCTCTCAGCTCTGTTGTCACCCCATCAGCCAAGTTCTCCTTGACATTCCCACCAGGACAAACCCTCACCTTGCCATTCCCTTGGCATCGTGCTGCAGCTGACATTTATTTGCGTGATCATTTGTCCAACATCTGTCGCCTGTGCTAGACTCTATACTCCAGGATGACAGAGACCACATTTGTGTGTTGCTGATCCCAGGATCCCTAACTCAGTGCTGGGCACATAGTTAAGGTTCAATAAATATTTGTAGAATAAACAAACTGGCCTCATTTGGCCTCTTTTTTTTAAAGACAGAGTCTCACTCTGTCATCCCAAATAGAGTGCTACGGTGGAGTCATTATTGCTCACAGCAACCTCAAACTCCTGGGCTCAAGCGATCCATCTGCCTCAGCCTCCTGAATAGCTGGGACTACAGGTGCGTACCACCATGCCTGGCTAATTTTTCTATTTTTAGTAGAGAGGGGCTTTCACTCTTGCTCAGGGCTCAGGCTGGTCTCAAACTCCTGAGCTCAAGCGATCCTCCAGCCTCAGCATCCCAGAGTGCCAGGATTACAGGTGTGAGCCACTCGGCCTGGCCCCCATCTAGCCGCATGATAAAGGCCACCAGTCGTTTAAGTTCTGCCCTCTACAGCTCCTCAGAGCAGTCATGCCTTCTACCCCAGGACCACCCTGCAGGGGTGGGTGGGCACCTTCCAGACTCCCACGATTCTCTCCCCAAGGCTGAACAGCCATTGCTCCTATGGCAGGTGGCTCTTCCAGACCCTCCACACCCTGCTCTGGACAGATTCGGGTTGTAAGCTGCTTGGAACCAGCCTCAACACTAGGGAATGGGCAGCTTTTCAAAAGCAATTTGCCCATACGGTTCTGCCAAGTGACGGTGTGGCCCTGAGGTTGTTCAGGATTAATGTCCTAGTTAGCCGTTCAGCTCTGAGGCCCTTGGTCTCCAGGTCATTAAGCTCATGCATTCAATGGACATCTCACTCTAGGAAGTATCGGCTTGAAAACCACTTCGGGTGGGGATGCACGGGTTTACAAGTTTACAAGGGCATCGGCAAAGATAAATACCAGGATGAAGCTGAGATTTTCCCTTTTGTTTTTAAATCAGGGCCAATGTGAAGCAAAATTATGAATTAGATGAAGAATGTCTGAAAGAAAAAAAAAATGCCATTTGCCCCGAGCCATCTTGGGGCCATTTCTAAAACATTCTCTTTGGGAATTCGCAGAGAGGCTGTTGGGAGCACCCTCAGGCGCTGTGGCTGAGAAGCCCGGCCTGCAAGGTTACCTTCAAACTCACCCTCAAAGCTTCATTTTCAATGCCACATGGGCCTGAGGACAGCCGTGGAGGCGACACCAGGAAACACACAATGTCCCACACCCCACTAAAGGGCAGAATTGGAGTCTTTTCTGTGCCAGTTTTCCCATCAGCGCGGCCCAGGGAGTGGCAGAGGCGAGGAGCTTGTTCAAAGGCCAGACTCGCAGGCCCCACGGTGGCAGCTGTCCCCTGGGGAGATCCCGCATCTGAGCCTCTGCACAGGTTGAAGTGGCAGATAGATCCTGACTCCTCACCTGGCTTGGGGACCCGGCTGCATTCCCTGGCCTTGCCATGGCAAGCGCTTAGGAGACGTCTACTGGATTGAAATGAAACCTTCAATGGATCAGACAAGAGCCCACTTTGTGGGAGGGGATCTAGAAAACAGCCTGAAGAAAGACCAGGGTTAGGAGACCTTCCAGCCTCCCTGCAGCAGGACTGAGATTTGTGTAGTAGACGAGCTCCCTCCAGTGGCGAAAGTGAAGATGACAGGCAGGAGTGAAGAAAAGCGTTTCCAGTGGACTACTAGGCGTGGCTGCCCGGCTTGGTGTCTCATGGTGCAACCTGTCTTTGCACGACTCGCCCTCCCTTGCCTCTCCCTAATCCCAGCCCTGCCAAATCATAACTTAAAATTTGATATTTTGTGTATCATAGTTTTTTGCATTAATTTAAAATATTATATATATTATATTATATTATATTAAAATATTATTTATATTGATTACTGAGTTTTTTGGCATCTTCTTAAATTATGTGTGAGGTGAGTGTTTCAATTGCCTCCCACCCGCCTCTGCTCCTAGTCATAGTTCTCACCTAGAAGTCAGCCCAGAAGGTCTCCCTAGATATATGCAGAGCACCCGCCTCATTTGTTGGGTGAGCAGGGAGGGCCAACGAGGGGCAGGGCCTGGCCTGTTGGGGAACACCTGTGGGCTGTTCCGTGCACCACAATCATGTGAGCTGCAGACTCCCCAGCTTCCTCCAGACTGGGACGCCTGCCGTTCAAAGTACATCCGAATGAGAAAAGACCATTGGATCAAGGATGATTTTATTGCACAAAGATGTACCGGGTTCTGCGGTGTTTACAAATGTGCAGACCGAAAGGCGGGACCTGGTTGCCGAGGCCCGCTGCAATCAGCCAGCGCTCAGAAGAGGGGCTGGGGCTGCAGTGCATCTGGGAAGGCCACTTGCCTTGGAATACGTTCCTCATTTGGGCCGCCATCCTGCATCATTTACCTGGAACCTCCAAGTGGCTCCCCAAGAAGGCGGCCACCCTCAGAAGTGTCAGGGGATAAAGTAGCACTCCTCCTTGCCATCAGCTGGCTGCCAGGAACCCCTCAGCTGCAACACCTGCTTCTGCCCCACCTGCCACGAACCCCATCTCCAGCAACCCTGCACCCCATCCAAGGAAGACAAGCCCCCAGCCCCGAGACCTGGAAGATCTCTGCCTCCATCTGCTCCACCTCCACAAGAGTGCCACGTCTTCCCCCATCATCCCACTGCCTTCCCTAAGCAGCCCTCGGTAGGTGCCAAGGGGACGTGTGTTCAGTCCAGGCCCAGAGTGGCAACCACAGAGCTTTGGGGGGGCCTGCACAGCTTGCTCGGGCTGGATAATTGCCCATGCCATAAAGGGTTAAGTCGACTATCTTCAAATGCCTATGTCCCTGGGGGAAAGAAGAGGAAGTGGCTAAAGGCTCTCCTAAAAAAAGATAAGAAAAAAAGAAAAAGAAAAAAAGAAAGAACTGTTCACAAAGGTCCCCCTCAAGCTCAGAAGCTGGCTTCTTCCAACAGGGTGCCTCAGGGAACCCTGACCCATGCATTGATCTGCTTGGCCCACTAAGCCCATCCTGGGCTTTTTATTTTTAAAATTTTATTTTTGTAGAGGTGGGGTCTTGCTATGTTGCCCAGGCTGGTGTGGAACTCCTAGGCTCAAGCCATCCTCCCACCTCAGCCTCCCAAGCCTATGGGATTATAGGCGAGAGCCACCGGTGCCTGGCTCCTTCCTGAGTTTTTCAGACCCACTTTAATCCCATACCATTTGTGGCCCAGTGAGAATAAAGTTATTATTATTATTTTTTGAGACAGAGTCTTGCTTTGTTGCCCAGGCTAGAGTGAGTGCCGTGGCGTCAGCCTAGCTCACAGCAACCTCAAACTCCTGGGCTCAAGCAATCCTCCTGCCTCAGCCTCCTGAGTAGCTGGGACTACAGGCATGCGCCACCATGCCCGGCTAATGTTTTCTATATATATTAGTTGGCCAATTAATTTCTTTCTATTTATAGTAGAGACGGGGGTCTCGTTCTTGCTCAGGCTGGTTTCGAACTTCTGACCTTGAGCGATCCGCCCTCCTAGGCCTACCAGAGTGCTAGGATTATAGGCGTGAGCCACTGCGCCTGGCGGAGAATAAAGTTATTTTAAATAACCACCATTTTATTTGTGAAGGGGCCACTCCTGCCATCTTAGAGCAACAGCTCTCAGTATCATGCTGTGTCTCACTCACTGAGAACCAGGCCTGCAAGACATTTGTAACGAATATAAAGTGCTCGAGTCTGTGACTGAGTGGACTCATGCATCGAGCAGATTTGAGCTCATCCCTGTATCAAAGCCTCGCTCCCTCTTGCATTCCGATAAGCTGTCTTGAGTGGAATGAACTCTGCCGAGGCCTCTGAGGTTCTGCATTATCTCGCAGCCTCAAGCCTTGTGCCTCCTTTCTTACCTGGGCCTCTCCCTCTGGCCAAGCTCCTACCTGTGTCAAGGCCTTTGAACTTGCAGCTCCCTTGGCCAGGAGACCCCTGCCCCCAGACCTTCCCATGGCTCTGTCTCCCACTTCCTGGCTCAGCTTAAAAAGGAACCTCTTCCTGGTTGCAAAAGTCTTAAGGGAGGCTTTGGGGGAGGCAGGTGGAAATAGTTTGTTCTCGATCTACGCGACGGTTACAAGGTGTGCACGTAAGTATAAATTCACTGAGCTGTCCACTTACAATCTGTAGACTTGCACTCTCTCCTGTTACTCCTACTACTCTCAATCGCGCCATGTTCATTTCCTTCCTGCCATAATAATTACATTCTTTGTTTATTTGTAAATTGTACCTCCTGCTAGAATGTAAGCCTCATGAGGACATTCTGTCTTGTCCATTGCTGTGTCATCCAGAGGGTAGCACAGTTCCTGCTAAACAGTAGATACTAAAAATAATTAGTGAATGAAGAGATGGATGGACGAATTAAAAAAGCTTGGATTTAATGATGGAGATAAAAAGAGGCAGAGGAGGTCAGTCTGAGGCTAGAAGCTCCTTCAGCCCCCAGCCCCCTTACAGTTTAGGGGTCTTGCACCATATGCCCAAGTCCAGATGCTATTCCCTGCTGGGAGGCCCAACCTCGGCGTGTCTACACCTCATTGGGGTTGTCCTGGTCGGCGTAGATGAGGAAGCCCGTGAAGAGGCTGTCGGTCCAGTAAGGGTCATAGAAGAGCCCATTCTGCTCCGAGTAGAAGATCTGCAGCCAGACCTCGTCACCCTGCTTTAAAGCCAGGATGGTGGAGCCCGAGGCCACGTCGTGGTTGCCGGTGTTGGCATCGAAGGTCCGGATGCGGTACTGGCCGTTGTGTACCAGGCCGATGGCCAAGTGCTTGTTGGCCAGCGTGATGTCGTAGGTGAAGTAGTAGATCCCCGGCACGCTGCAGACGAACTTGCCGCTGGAGGCGTTGTAGTGGCCGCCCTCGTTCATCAGGATCTTGTCAAACTTGATGGGCAGCCGCTCCCGTGGGTAGCTCTTGGTCACCGCCACCGAGAAGGCCGACTTGGCGCGGCCACTGCCGCAGCTGCAGGGGCCCGGGAGGCCTGGCTCCCCCTTCTTGCCCTTGGGCCCCTTCTTGCCTGGCGTGCCATGCTTCCCAGGGGTACCACTGACCCCCTTGGGGCCTCGGGGGCCAGCCCGCCCAATGGCCCCGGCTTTGCCCTTTGGTCCTGGCTTTCCCCGGTTACCTGTCCGGCCAGGTGGACCTGGAAGACAGAGCAGCTGGTGTTATGGAGGGGCCGCCACAGGCCTAGGCAGAGGTTATGGGCCTTGGCTTTCCATCCTGGGAGCGGGAGCCGGTGGGTAATGGAAAGACCAAGAAGGCTGTGGAGGGAGACACCCAGAAATGAGTGTAAGTCCTGATGGTGTAACTGGGGCAGTTCTCCCAGCCTTATCTGGAAAATGGGAATGAGGATACTTACCTTCCAGAGCCACTGTGGATCATGGCACAAAAAGAATAACAAAACAAATTCCCACCTTTCCTTGTCCTGCCTTCTAAGAAGAGTCTGGCTTGTCTGCCAGATCAATCCTTCTAGGGGCTATGCTGATATTGGGCTGAGAAGGAACTGAAAGAAGCCTCTTCATTTATTCCCTTGATCCTGATAAAATCCCTGCCTGGTGCACGAGGGCCCTGTCCACATGTACAAGGGTTTTATTGCAGCATTGCTTATAAAAGCAAAATAATAGGAACAACTAAATGCCCATCCAAAGGGCATTAATTTAAAAATTATGGTCCATCCATACTGTGGAATTCTACACAGGAGTTAAGAAAATGAGGCGCATTTGCGTGCACCATGTGAAACCTTCTCTAAAATATCCTGTTAAGAGGAAAGAACATGTGGCCGAACCTTTTATGTTAAAAGGAATCCACAATGTTAATTATTTCTATACCACTTAAGTGTATAGGAGAGGCCTGGCCTATTGCGAACACCCACTAAATACTAGTTGACATATCTTACAGAACATTAATATTTTCCTGTAGATTGCCTTTTAGCTTTTGATACTCATATTTCATAAAATGTACATTTCTCTCAATACAGCTGTTGACCATTTATTATATAGAAAACACTTAATTTATACCCCTCCACTCAGTACAACATATATGGATAAAGATTTGAGTTCATTGGACACAAAACAACTGTTTGTTACAACCAACCATATGAACTGGGTGATCAAGGAAGAGTTGCGTTAGGCATTTTACATCCTAACAAGGTACTTTATTTCTTATATGTATACATGGAGGCATTTCACTGTGTTTTAGAGTTTTGAGTTAAACTGTAATGCATTTAAATTTTTCCTAGTTTACATAATTGGGAAATAGGTTTCCAAATCACATTTTCTCACTGAACATCTAATTTTCAGGAACAGATTCCTTATGTTAAGTGCTTGGCAATGCCTGGTATTATTTTACACATATGTAAATACACAGAAAAAGGGCAGGAAGGACACACACCTAACCAAGGGTGAGGGGAGGGTGAGAAGGGGTAGTAATTAAGGACTTCTCCTTTAGTGGTATTGCTTGAATATATTACAATGAGACTGTATTTGCATATTACTTGTGTAACTAAAAATAAATAAAAATAATAGGGGCCAGGTACAGTGGCTCACTCACATCTGTAATCCTAGCACTCTGGGAGGCCAACGTGGCAGGATCGCTCAAGGTCAGGAGTTCGAAACCAGCTTGAGCAAGAGTGAGACTCCGTCTCTACTAAAAATAGAAAGAAATTAATTGGCCAACTAAAAATATATAGAAAAAATTAGCCGGGCATGGTGGTGCATGTCTGTAGTCCCAGCTACTTGAGAGGCTGAGGCAGGAGGATCGCTTGAGCCCAGGAGGAATTTGAGGTGGCTGTGAGCGAGGCTGATGCCACGGCACTCACTCTAGCCTGGGGAATAGAGTGAGACTCTGTCTCAAAAAAAAAAAAAGGAAAAAATTATACTAAGAAAGGTCACAAAGCTGCTGTTTGAAAAAATGAAAATAAAATGTGGGAGAAGGGGCTGAGAGAAGAGGAGGAGGAATCGTTTTGGCTTGGAGTTTTTGGGGGGAGACAAATAGATAAGAAAGCTTGCCAGGAAGTTCTACCATGCATTTTATGAAGTGCTTACTTCTTTATGACTTGTTTGAGAGACTTCAGGAAAAGCTGACTTTGTTTTTCACGACTTCTTTGGAGGTGGGTCTGTGTGTGTGGTGAGGGTGTTGGACGTTATCCTGAACTGGTCCCAGGGAGACAGGGAGACCTGGCTTTATCTGGGTTACCTAGGCCAGGACTCTCCACCTCTCAAGACTGCTTTCCTTGGCGTGGTGGCTTAGTTCTCAGCAGAGACTCAGTGCATGGTAGAAGGGATGACAAAGCAGCCCCCCACCTACATCATCACAGCTCTTGATTAAGGGGAAAATGTCAACTACAGAGACTCTCTCCCTCAGGATCCATAAGGCAAATCTCAGGGGAAACTCTAGCTCGTCCTGCTTGGAGCACATGCCCAGCCTTGAGTCTACCACTGTCATCAGGGAACTGGATACCAGGACACCAGTGCCTGGCACACTGTAAGACCTCCTCAAGTCAAAGCCATTATCGTTACCTTTCTAGTTATTTTTCTGGGAAGGAGGTACTTTTTTCCTTTTTCTTTTTTGGAGACCGAGTCCACTCGTTGACTGGGCAGACGCCGCAGCGCATCAGCCTAGCTTCCGCAACTATCACCTGATCCCTCTGCCTATCCGTTAGACGGGCGACTACAGGCATGCAACCACCATGCCACAGCTAATCTTTTTAATACTATACAATACTATTTTTTGTTGGCAATTTTCTTTTTCTATCCTCTTCGCCTTGTCTTGCTCCAGGCCTTGCCTTAATCTGACTTTGAGCATCAGGGCTGCGTCCAGAGTGGCTAGGATTATAGATGTGAGCCACCATGGCTGGCCGGAAGGAGGTAATTTTAAAGAAGTTTGTTTGTAGGAAAAGGCCTGGATTTGGAGCCTGCTACTAGCCTGTTACGTGAGCTCAGTAAGTGATTTAGGGGGTACCATTTATTCCATGTCTACTCTAAGCCCACTGCTTGACATGCTATTGTATGTCATGCTATTTTGTATGCTATTGTATGACATGCTATTTTATTTCATTTTTACCACAACCCTGTGAGGTTGCTATTATTATCCCTAATTTAGAGATGAGGAAACTGAGGTTTGGAGAGAGGTTAAGTAGTTTGCCAAAATTAGTATCCAGGTTGGTTTCCAAAGTTTAAGTTCTTGCAGCTATGACATTCTGTTCTCAACTTGATTGCTCTGTTTCCTCATCTGCAACATGGAGATAATAGTTAGTTTTATGAGCCTATAAGTTCCTTTTGGGGCTATAAATTGGGTTTCTGTGACTTGCAACCAAAAGCGTTTTGAATAATGCTTTAGGAGACTTGCCCAAAGTCACTTAGCAAACCGAAGGTACAGCTGGGGCAGGAACACAAGATTCAATAACCACTGTTCCTTTTCGAATACACTGCTTTGTTTATAAGGAGATAGTAATTCGACTTATAATCAAAGGGATTAATACCAGTTTTAGGAATTTCAGATGCTGTCAGCCCCAGGTGGGAACAGGAGGGGTAGGCTCTGGGCCTCTTACCTTCCTCTCCACTGTCCCCCCGGTCCCCGTCCTGGCCATCCTGACCATCTTTGCCCGGAAAGCCCATTCGTCCCACCATTCCTGAGGGCCCTGGGGCTCCCGGGGGGCCAGGTGGGCCCTGGGGGCCAGGCAGGCTGCAGATGAGTTGAGGGGAGCCTTTCTGGAAGTCCCTGCGAGCGAAGGCGCCAATCAGCGGGTCAGCAGCACAGGGGAGGGCACAGGCCAAGAGCACCCAGGGGATCATGGCGGTGACCTGTGGGAGGCAAGAGAGCTGTGGCAGGTGAGTGTGGCCACCGAGCTGAGCTAGTGGTCGGTCAGAGGGGATGCAGAGGAGGAGGAGGAGGAGGAGGAAGAGGAGGAGGAGGCAGCTGGGATAGACTCAACTGTGTTCTGTCTCTTGCTCTTTCTTACATCACACACAAATAGTTGGACAGAGTGATGTCATATCGTGAGGACATATTTGGACAAGCTGAGTCATATGCCCAGCATACACTTTGGAGGGGCCTTGGGGGTGAGGCACCCATCATCAGACCATCATCTTCTGTAGTGGCCGAGATGAACACAGGACTTACGGCCCAAAGACTGACGACTGGAAGGAGATGTGCATGGAGAGAAATGATCCATAGTTTCATTCAAATATGTGGCATGAAATGAAATCAAAGTCATGCAATTAGCAGGTGACAGGGCTGGGGTTTGAACCAGGCCGTCCAGATCCAGAGCCTGTGCCTTCCTGTCCCAGGCTAGATTGTGCACCCTTGAGGCTGACAGCAGCAATAGCATGATCCCACCAGAGATCAGTGCGATAGGCAATCAGGGCTTATCCACTTCCTGCCACTGACTGTGCATATGCAGAAACTGAGGCCTAGAGCAGAAATAGGCAACTTATCCAAGATCTCTCAACAAATTGCTTCTGTCCCTTTGCAATCAACGGCCTCTACCCAGAGAATGAAACCAGGAGGGAGAAGACTCCAGGCATAACTTCCTGCCATGGGGATGAGCTATGAAGTGGTACCTTGATTTGTGACCTTAGTTAGGCAAGCCCTTTTCCCTTTCTAGTCCTCAATTTCCCTACCTGAACAACAAGGGGTTGGACTAGAGAAGTGGCTCTCAAACTTGAATGTGCATCAGACTCACCTTGAAGGCCTGTTAAAACATAGATTGTTGGGCCTCACTCTCCAATTTTCTGATTTGTCAGTTCTGGGGTGGGGCAGGACAATTTACGTTTCTAATAAGTTTCTAAGTGATGCTGCTGATAGTGGTCTGGGGACCCCACTTTGAGAACCACTGGACTAGATGGTCTCTAAGTTTACAGCTCTGATACCAAGCCTTTCAAGCTCCAATCTGCCCACTCTTTCCAGATGTGAAGCACTGTTGGCTTCACTGTTCCCATTCAGTGTTTGGCTTCTGAGTCTTCTGTAGAACCTCCCAGCTGTGGGGGTCATAGATTCAAGGGTTGCATCACACACAGTGTGCATCCATTCTTAAAGGATCTTGGGCAGGCCCCCACAAGCATACATATAGACCCTGGAAACCCCCAGACAGGAACACAGAGCCAGGGCCCCAAGACAGAACCGCTACTAGGGTGTAAGGAAGGCATGTTGGGTCTACATAGAGGAACAGACATGGACAGAGGTACATATTAGCTTTGGGTATCTAGTCATCTGGAAAGATGGCAAAAGAAGGCTGAGTGGATGAGTGTAAGAGGATGTTAAAATTGAAAGTCCCACTTGGGCACCAAGACAAAGGAAACACTGCATGCCAAATTGAGGTCAGGCCCGAGTGCAGGATTTACAAAAGAACAGTTTAAGACCCCATCCTCCAGCTCTTGGCACTCACTCTTGTCAGATCAAGAATTTTAAAATGTGACCCATGTCATTGGAGTGGGAGGGAGAATGGACCACGTCTGAGGCCTGCAGGAAAAAGCTAGAAGAGAGAGGCCGGCAAGCTGCCTGGGGGGAAGGGTCTGACTACATTGCCTTCTCACCCTCCCAAGGTAGATGGAAGGTACCAGAGGCCCTGCCAGCTTCACACTTGGCTGGGGGAACAGGAGGAAGTCTCACCTTTGAATGAAGATTGAAGTGTGGACGCCTGGAGTGGAGATTCAGCCAGGCAGAAGGGGGAGCTCCCCTCACTGGCTAAATTACAAGAGGGAAGAAGGAGGCAAAAATAAAGGTGTAGGTTGATTATATTTCTGGTGTCACACTTGCTCAACCTAGATCACATAAATATAATAATAGTAGAGGTGGTAGGCAGATAAGGCAGGTGCTTTTGTAAAACTGTGGCCTAGACACTCCGCAGGCCCTGCAACTAGCCATCTCTCTCCCTTGCCTGCTTAATGAGTCTTGGAAAAAAACTGGCTAGTGTTACCTGACAGCTGCAGCACATCTGGGGGCCCCAGAATAGAAACTGAATTTTTAAAGTAAGTTTGAAATAGTTTAGAAAGTTGCAATCTACAAACATTTTGGAGTAGGGAAAGAGGGAGGAAGGAAGTGGGTGGGAGCGAGTCTTTGCGGAGGATCAGAATCCTGCAAATGGCTAGATGAAGACAGGCAGGAAAGGCCCAGCCAGATGAGAGCGGGAGGAGACAGAGGGGGACCATCTGTCGCAGTTGATGACGACGCAGTAGATGGTGTCCACGCCCAGCTACACGAGAAGGGGGAGGGCTTGCTCTCTGGCCCGTCTGCCCTGTGCCAGCCTCTTTGGACAAAGAGGGGACTCCTCTCTGCAGCGACAGCTGGGTCTGGGCAGGCCCAACCCTCTGGGTGGAGGAGGGGGGGCGGCCTGGGACAATTTAGGAGGAAGGATTTTCTAAGCTGGAATCTAGAGGCTCCTGTAGCCCCAGAGGAGTCCTGGCAGCTTGAGCCAGGAACTGTTTTGGAAATAATGGTGGGGAAACTAGATTCTGGTTCCAAACCTAGAGGGAGGGAGAGGAGAATCTCCTTGCCTCCAGGGTACCTCCAAGAAAAACAAGACTCCAAATAGCTCTGCTCCCAGCCTGCGCCCCACCCTCACCCACTCTACAATGGTGCTGAGAAAATCTGGGTTGGGGTGCTTAGAGCAGAGCCAAGGCCCCAAGGAATCCAGATGGATTAACTCTTCCAGTGCCTAGTAAATAAATTTAGGATCACAAACTTGGGGAGGGCTCCCAGGGACCTGTCTTCTCCAACCTCTTCAGTTACAGATAGGGAAAGCCAGGCTGAGCCAAACTGATTTTATCACACACCTACCCCATTCCAAGCACTGTGTGAAGCTATTTGCCTGCACTGTTTTATTTGAAATTTACAGTGAAGCCCATGAAGGCAGTATACTTATGTCTCCATTTTTCCAGAGGAAGAACCAGATGCTCCAAGATGCGAAGTGATTTAGCCAAAGTCGCACCATCAGGGAGCAATGGAGACAGCCTCCAAAAACCCACGTCTGAGCATCTCTGAAGACTATGCTTACTCCACTCTACCTTGCTTCCTTCCCCTGCTAAATTATTCCTGTTTCACAGAAGACTCGAAATTCGGAGAAGCTAATTTGCTCATGTTTACAAAACTAGTTAGCGGCAGAAGTTATATTTGAACTTGGGTTTGGCCGACCCTGGTACCCAAATGCTTTCCATTATGTCAGCATCTCTTCGATTTTTCCTCCCAAATACTCCAAATTACAGAAGAGACCTTGAAGCATATGCCAAAGCCGCACACAGCAATAGAGAAATTGCTTTGATATCCTGTAGTTTACTTTACAATTTTATACACACACAAGCACGTACTACATGACTTCAAAAATGTAAAAGTGATGCTATTCTCTCTCAGGATACTTGAGCAAATCGATGCTTGAGGGAGACCTGTCCTTTGAAAGGGTCATATTTGGCTTAGCCAAGATGAAGGGTAGGGGGTTGGGGGGAGCCTCTTGGGCCCCCACTCCCCACTGGAAGCCCCTCTGGAGTGTTGATGGGGGTCCTGCCGAGGCCTGAGCTGAAAGTTCAGAGGGTCACTCCCCAAGACCCTCCAGTACCTACTGGCTGCACAGAAAAGCTTGGAACCCTTGCCATGGCCCATAGGGCCCTAAGGACCTGGCCTCTACCTCCACTCCAACCTCAGCTACCCCACCCCTTCCCTCCACTCCTCTGGCCTCCCCCAGACCAATCTCCACTCCATCCCAAGGCGCCAGCCCCTTAGCCAGTAACCTAGTGGGCTCCACTCTTTGGGTTTGCTGGCTCTTTGTCTGTTGTGTTCTGGCTTAAATGCCACTTCCTCCAGGCCATCCCTGACCTGCCCTCTCAGGCAGTGCTCCTTTGATTCCAGCACTTTCTTTCTTTCCTGGCCCTTACAACAACTTGCCAGTATTCACTTTATTCCCATTAAAATGTAAGCCCCATAAGAACAGGGACCTCAGTGGGCCACCTGGCTTCAAACTTCCCTGCACACAGGGTGTGTTCAAGAACTACTGGCTTAATTAATGAACGTCTGAGACGCTGACTCTGCCCTCAAGAAAATCCACAGCAAAAACAAGGCAGTGGCATAAATCCAGAAGGGAACTGACACCCTTGATTCATATCAGTTCTCTTTCTTCTTTCAGTTTTGCTAACTAAAACTAGATCTGATCCCTCCTTCCTTGTGACCTCCTAGAGTAGAGGGGCTATGTCTTTCTCTCTCTGCCCCCTGGGGTGGGGGCTGGCCTTGCAGAATACCGTACTATAGTAGATGCTCCACCATGAGTTGTTCGATTGATCAGGAAAAAAGTATCAGTCCTTCCTCAGCTTTTAAAAAACTATCTTAGTCCCTAAATTGTCCTTTCTGGGGGTGGAAAGGTGTGAGTTAAACAGAAAAGGCTTCATTACAGTCTTCCTGCTGAAGGGGAAAAAAAATGTTAGTTGGTTAAATCCCAGAAATGGAATCATGAGGTGCTAAACTTGGACGAGTTCTTAAGTCTGGTTTTAATCTACCCAGTCCCTGGGCTTCTCATCTCTCAGTTAAGTAGCTAAACATTCATAAATACACATGTTCTAGAAAAACGCTAGGGGCTAAAGGGCTGCAGCCTTAAGTCCACTATCAGGAAACAGCCTTCCTCCTCCCTCCCTTTTGCTCTTGGCCCACAGAACATGGTCTTCTGGTTGATTCCTGAGGGTCCTTTGCTCAGACTGTGGGGTGGAAGGGCCAGAACTGGGGACATTGGCCTGTCCCTGATTCTCCCAGTAGGTGTCTGCCAGCAGAAACTCCAGGAACACTTCTCTGGGCCTTGAGCAAGGCTTCTAAGCCTGGGTGCTGAACAATCTCCCCTTGCAGATTGGAAGACATAAATTATGCTCAAATAAATTTGACCTGTTTGTTATCAGGTTTTGACGTGCTGACAGGTAGGGGTGGTGTTTAACTCAGTGGTTAAGTGCCATGGGAAACCCAGCCTCTTGGTTTCTTCAACTATCCAACGGAGCTAGTAGGAAACTTACCTGAGGGAGTTTGTGTGAGAAATGAGATAATGCATTCAAAGATTGTAGCTCAGTGTTTGACGGTTGCAGAGAACTCAGCCTAAAATGCCCCCTAATCCTAGCTTCCTCCGAAAAGCCCTCCCGTAGCAGCCAGCCTCGTCCTTCAAGAGTGAGGTCTTAATACCACCTCCTCAGAGAACCTGCCCTGATCACTTGATCCAAAGCATCCCACAAACCCCTGCATATGCTCTTGTATCACCCTGTTCTTTGAAAGTACTTGGCCCATTTGTGATTATGTACTTATTTATTTTTTTTTTTGAGACAGAGTCTCACTCTGCACAGGCTAGACTGCCTTGGCATCAGCCTAGTTTACAGCAACCTCAAACTCCTGGGCTCAAGTGATCCTCCTGCCTCAGCCTCCCGAGTAGCTGGGACTACAGGCATGTGCCACCATGCCCGGCTAATTATATATATATTAGTTGGCCAATTAATTTCTTTCTATTTATAGTAGAGACGGGTCTCACTCTTGCTCAGGTTGGTTTCAAACTCCTGACCTCAAGCAATCCGCCCCGCCTTGGCCTCCCAGAGTGCTAGAGCTGGCCCCCATTTTCATTTAAATTAGCGTGAGCTGTGTCTCTGTCAGTTGCTACCAGATGAGAGTCCTGGGGAGACTTGATCTTTGCTTCTGCCTGCTGTTCCGTCCCGAGGGACCTGGCATGCCCATGCTCCATCGCACAAAGACCAGTGGGTCAATGGGACAGTGCTTGGCTCATCAAGTGAGAGGGGCCAAGTGGGCTATCATGTGTGCGTGCTTGGTACCACGCTTTGGCACATGAATACCCAATAGACAGTCCCCTTATTACACTGCCTTCGAGGCCAGACAGTGGGGACTTGGAGGTGAAAAGATGTGCTTGCTGCTCCTGTAGGGCACACTATGAGCCCTGTAACGACCTGGGCACATTTAACTATCCGGCTACACTGAGGGCCCAGCCTGGCACACCTGTGTGACCAGGAGAGAAAACAAGCTTCCCGGCAGCATCTAGATGTAACAGAATCCAGGAAGAGGCAGGTGGCAAGGGAAGAAAATTTGGGGGCTGGATGATCCCTCCAACGATATAGAAGGCACCATGTTTGAAGATCTAAGAACTGAGGGAGAGGAACAAATTCTGAACCTTGAAGGGCTGGGAGAGGAAACGCTAAGTTTTCTTTGACTTTTCTGAGCAACTTCCATGGAGTCACTTCCGGTGAGTCCCTCCCTGGTGGGTACTTAGGGTAACCCTAAAGACATGTTGTCTGATGTGTAGCATTAGAGAAGCACAGAGCTGGTTTAGTAGTTAAAAGATGGTTAAGAGTCATTTTCTAGCTGTTTGACTTTGGGCAAGTTATTTAGCCTCTCTAAGCCTCAGTTTCCTTTGTCTGTTAAATGGGAAAAATAATACTCTATGGTCTCATTTGAATTTGAAACAGCACGATGTAAACTTATTGATTGTTTTCACTTTATGTATAAAATCTGAAATAACCCCAAATCCCCAAATTAAAAGTTGTCACAAACCTTACAAAGCAGTGTGAATTGTATTTACGTTATAGCCACATAAAAGCACTATCCTAACAGGTAACAGAAATACCTGCCATCCTTCAGCAGGTGGGTTTTGAATTATACCAATTTTGAATTATTGGCGGTCTTCAGGAAGGGTTCCCTGGAGTCATCTGATTGCCCGAACCTCC